CGCGGGGCGGCCCCGCCGCGGGCTCGGGGCGGGGCGGCGCGCGGGGGAGGCGCCGGAAGGCGCTGATTCATTGCGATAAATCGCGGGCGGCGCGGCCGGGCTCGCCCAGTGCCGCCCGAGCCGCCGCAGCAGCCGCCGCCACCGCCGGCATCCGGAGCCGCCGTTGTCGCTGTCGCTGTCGCCGGCGAGGATGAAGATGCAGGCCGAGGTGATCCGCGAGGGCGAGCTGGAGAAGCGCAGCGACAGCCTCTTCCAGCTGTGGAAGAAGAAGCTGGTGGTGCTCACCAAGGACAGCCTGAGCCTCTTCCCCGACGGGCACAGCAAGCGCGCCAAGGGCAAGGAGCTGGGCTTCGGCTCCATCCTCAAGGTGGACTGCGTGGAGCGCACGGGCAAGTACATCTACTTCACCATCGTCACCAAGGACCGCAAGGAGATWGACTTTCGGTGCCCGGACCAGAGCTGCTGGAACGCCTCCATCACCATGGCCCTCATCGACTTCCAGAACAAACGCGCCATCCAGGACTTCAAGAGCCGCCAGGAGCTGGAGCAGGCGGCGGGCACCCAGGAGCGGCGRCTGGCGCGGGCGCCCTGAGCCCCYGCGCGCGCCCGGCACACGGTGAGAGCCCCGGCCACCTTCCCTCCTCCCTCTATTCCCCCTTGCTTCTTTTTCTTTTATCATCATTATTATTAAAAGAAAAAAAAAATCTATCTATACTATTTTTACACCTTTTTTTTTGCCTTTTTTTCCGTGGGAGATGGCGATATTGGTGGTTCTGCCGGCTCCGGCTCTGCCAGCTCCGTCTYGCCACCCACGGTCCCAGCTTGGGGGGCCCTGTTGGGACTGATCCCTGTATGGGCTGCAGATTTAGGCTACGAGTTGCTGGGGGTGGGGAAGGAAATACCACTGAGCACTGATTTGCTTGGAGAATTCCCTATAAAGGCGCCAGCTGGAAAAATAAATGCTGGCCTCTTACTCTCCCTTTAAAGGCCCAGTTTTGTTCCCTGCTGTCCTGTCTGCTTAACTTGCTTTGTTTATTAATTGTAATTATTATTATATTTTGCTGCCTTTAGAGCATACCGCTGGCTGATAACCAGATCAAGTGTCTTGGACTGAAATGGAACAGGGTACCAATGAAGGAAAGCGGAGACGGAAGCTGGAAGCGGCTTGGTTTTTCGTCGAGCCTGGTTGAGGCTGCTGAGCAAAGAGCCCCGCGCTTTGCCCAAGATGCATTAAAAAATAAAAAAAGAAAGAAAAAAAAAAAAAACATGAAACCAAAGACTTTCGAAAGGACTTGCAGAGAAGCGCCCACGTGTTCAGGGTGGCGCGGCTTTGCCGGCAATTATCTCCTATTTATGAGATGCAAGGAAGATTCAACACTGACTGGTGGTGTTACGAACGATTTTAAGTTATTTGCAGTATCTATATTTGTATTTATTTTGATGAATGTCTTTCAGCTGTTGTTAGTCTTAATATTGCTTTTACATTAATATGTCCATTCCAAATAAATTACTTGAAATGTTCCCTTTTTATCAATACGCTTGGTGGTGCAGTAACTCGTGCGGCTGCCGGCGCRGGGCTCGATGTGAGTCCACACTGGGGGCTCTGGGGGCAGAAGGGGGAGCCTCCATGGTCCGTGTGTGCATGAGGGAGCCTGGAGTCGGCCCCACGCGGCGCTGGAAGCGTCCAAGGCTGCTGGGACACGTGTTCGTTGGGAAGCGCTCTCGTGTGTGCTCTGGTAATGGCTGCTTAGTCACTGCGGTGCCGAAGGGAAGTGCAGGATTTGCCAGCACTGATCAAATGCGCCCGTCTTCTAACAACCCGTGTCCTGGCCTCTCTGTTGCTCTCTGTTATGTTACAGTAGGGCAGCAAGGCGGCTTGGTCGCTTCAGCCYGATCCAGGGGTGAAGCCAAAAGGGCTGCCTGCACGCCGCAATGCGGGAAGCTAAGTTGCTGTCTTTACCATCCTGCTGCTGCTCTATGRCTTCGAGGGCTGGTTAAACTGCACCAGGATAACTGGGGAAAAGCGAGACAGGCTTTTGCTGGCCGTGCCACGACCAAGAGCTTGGAGACGCGGCTCGCTCCTTGAGGAACTCCATGAAGTCTATAGCTTCAACTTAGCAATTGACTGATTTCTTTTCCTCAACCCTCRCTATCAGTGCCAGAAGACTCAACAGCCACCGAGGAAATTGTTTTTATAGTTTATATAGTGACGAGCAGCTTGTAGAACGAGCAAATGGGGAGTATGGGGGGGGAAGAGTGGGGGGAAGTGAGCGTGATGGCTGCGCACTGCAGTGCGCTGAGTGGGGGCCCCTTGCCCATGATGTTTTGGGGAGTTTTTAGCCTCTATTCCACAACAGCAAGAATAAAACATTGCCTGTGCTCCTTTAACAGAGCAAGTGTGGCTTTGCTCCCCCCAATTTGCTTGGTGTTACTGGAAAAAGAAAGACCCGAGCGGAGCCGCGGCGCTGGACGCTAATCCCCTGGCTCCGGGGGAATGTGGCCTGGCGGCAGCTGCGGCGCTGTGCGAGCAGTGGGGCCGGCAGCTCTGTCGCCCTGGTCTGGTGGCCACCGCCGGCTGCCGCCCGGAGAGGCGCTTGGGCAAAGCGGACACTTCAATTTTTAATTAATTTAATTTTTAATCTTCCCCATCCGCCAACTGGCCTCTAGCCACAGATGCTCAAGACATGCAAAGTGCCGTTGAAAACGGTTTATTCCAGGTGTGYGGAAGCAAGAGGAAATTACCAGAAGAATTATTTCTGTGGGGGGAAAAAAATACGGCTTTCCTGCAGCCACGTCAGAGGTCTTTTCTCTCGCCCAGCGGGATGTTGCTCCTGAGGAGGTAGATGAGCAAGCCCACGTTGACGCTGAGCTGCAAGCAGCCGAAGGAGGAGACGCCAAAGTGCTTGTACATGAGGCCGCCGATGGCCGGCCCCACGGTGCGGGTCAGGGGCTGCACTGAGGCGCAGAGCCCCAGCACGGTGCCTGGCAGGAGAGCAGAGGAGAGCATCTAAGAGCTGCAAGGAGAGCGCAAAGGGCGCTGCTTGGCCCTCAGCGCGCTGCTGGTGCTAGCGGAACTMGCTTCCATATGGATAAATAAATAGAACTGCAGGTAGAGACTAACCCCCCCTTGAGATACCTCCCTTGCAATGAGGAGGGACGGTGTGATTTGAACAGCACTGTGAGCCTGAGCTCTGCTCAGGAAGGTTTTCCCCCACCCATTTTTACCATCTCTTTCTTTTCTTTTGTTATAATTGATGCGGTCATGGGCTGGGGCCTCCACGTGGGGCCCGCTGGGAGGATGGGGGCGGCAGGGCCGGCGCAGCCCGTGTGGAGGCGGCAGCGGTGGCAGCAGCCGGGGCGGGCGCAGCCGGGGCRGGCGCTCCTCGCCCTGGCAGAGCCACAGCGCCCAAGCGAGGGCAGCCCGAGACCCTGCCCATGGGAACCCACCCACAGCCTCCCAGCTCTCTGGGTAGGGGCTGCCATTACCCGCCTCCCTCCRGGGAGCTGAATTAGGCTAATTGCTACCTGCCTTTGCCAGGCTGGCTCCTACCACTGCGGAGGCACCTTTTTTTATTATTACTTGTCTCCCCCCCGCCCCCTTTTTTGTTAATTTAGGAGCAAACAGCCACTCTATCAGCMGGGCTCTCCCTTTGCGATCACGTTTCTGAAAACCAAAACGATCTCTTCCCTAAGGGCTTCAGTTGGGTCTRAGCTAGTGGTGAGGCTCAGCTGTGTGGCACGGCTGCCGCTGGGCCATGTGTGCCGCGGCCCGCAGCGAGCTGCTCGCATGTGCACCGGCCACACGCGCCCGCTGTGCCGCCGAGGCCCTGAGCCCTTTGTCCCCGCGCCCTTCTCCGAGGCGCCGCGCACCAACTGGTGGCCTCTTAGCAGGGCGTACAGTGAGGGTCTGTCCYCAGGCTGAGCCCGCGGCTCCTGCGGGACATGGGTGCACACGGGGGGCCGGCTTGGGGCCCGTGTGGAGGCCGAGGCGCAGGTGGCGCCGCGCGCGGCCGACAATGGGCAGGAGGCGGTTAATGGCCGCCTTGCTGCGCGCGACGCCCACACGCGGCGGCTGCATCAGGCATGCGGGGCTGAGCCCTGGCAGCCGGGCATCGGGCTGGGGGGGGCTCGCTGTGTACCCCTCGCTCCTCGTGCTCTCTCCACATTCAGGCTCAACAAACACCTTGGGGTCCTCGGGGCCATCCCGGGTGGGCGCCCACAGCAAGCTCAGCGGGTGGCCCCAGAGCCCTCAGCATGGGCAGGGAGCAGCGGATGTTTCCCAAGGGCGACGCAGCGCACCCRGGCGAGACGCCTTGAGTAAAGTGGCATGAATGAATATCCTCTCTTAGTCACCGCTGCCGCGCCAGAAAGGCARCTTTGAAATAGGACTCTGGGGCCGATACTCTATCTAGCCGCGGCACAGCCTCCTGGCAGGCCTGCTCGCCAGGGACACGGCAGGGCTCAGCCCAGCCCAGCGCCCGGCCCCAGGCGGGAACCGCAGGTGCTTCGGAGAGCTCTGCTCGTGACACAGGGGCCCTTTGTGCTTCAGGGAACCGGCTGCTTCAGGTGCCACACAGCAGCAGCACCAGTGTCCAGCCGGGCAGGTGCCTCCACCTCCAGCTAGCGGCTCAGGCACCCTCCAGACCCCCGGTCTCATGTTTCTGAACTAAAATGTGGGAGSAAGTGAAGTGTAATCCCCGTGCCCCGAACCATTCCATGTGGGCACACAGAGTCTGCTGCCGGAAACTGTGCCACAATGTGCCAGGTCCCAGCTCTGACCCTGCTGAGCACCTTGGGTGACTGCCAGTGGGTGCAAGCTGGTATGGGACCAGCAGACCAAGCCCAGTCTGATGTCCCTCCGGAGCCTTACCGGTGTCGGAAGCGGGGACGGCCTTGGTGAGGATGGCGTCYGTGATGGTGGCCAGCGTGCTGAAGGCGAACACCAGCGGCACAGAGATGAGGCAGTAATGCACCACGTTCCTCATCAGGGCCTAGGCAACAGGACAGCACATGCTGCGGGTCACCTGCGAGGTGACAGAGAGCAGCCCCGCACCCACCCTGGCCCAGCTGAGGACACGCTAGCCAATGTAGCATCATTATGGGGGCCCCCTTCCTCCCGGCCCAACACACRTTACTTAAAGCATGTGGCACTGTGCACTTCAGGAAGCCTCCAGTGCTTAAGCAAAACAGCCYAGAGAAGGCATTTCAGCTCATTAGCATAAATAATTAAAACTGCAGCAGAAGCGAGTAGGCTGTGTTATGTAATGCAGCGCTGCTGGGATTTCTGATCCCGTCTGCCTGCCTGCTCGTGAATGAAGTCCCTGCATCCAGCCACCTGCAGCGGGTGCCCTGACCGGGAGCGCACATTAGCGAGCAAAATCMGGGAGGGAATGGCTCGGGGAGCGCACGGGTTCTTAGTGGGGACCTCCCTGCAGCTGCCACGGAGCGGTGGGAATCCCTAGGGCCACTCCGAGCTCCTCCACCAGCCCTGCTGGTCAAACAACGAGAGCCCTCCGGGGCATGGAAAGGAAATCCTCCCTTCCTTGGCAGTCTCTCATCCTCGCCTTAGTCTTGAGGTGTGTTATTGTGGCCAGAAAAACCCTTCTGCTGCTGGTTAAGCCAGAAGTTTTGTTCACTGGAGCTGTCTCTGTAATATCTGGCCTGTGCCTCTTGGCTACAGAAGTGGAGGAGCCCAGAGACACAGCTAACAAGTCACTTGGAAATGCTGAGGATGTAGCCCAAACTACATGCAAATCCCCTCTGGACTTGTGCACAGCCGAGTTTCTGCCCTCAGACGGGCTCTTTGCTTAGGTTTTGGTTAAAGACCAGGCACTTCTGATTAAAAAGTGCTGCAGAAGCAACCGGAGGAGCAAGTGTCCCACCAAGACAGCAGGACTCATCCYGTTGCAGGCCTTCTTTATGGGAAAACCACCACAGGAGCGGATGTTTTCTTGGCAGCCGCCAGAACAGAGCGCTTTTTAACGCAGCCACGCTGGTGCATGGGACAGCAGCTGCCTTTGCCTATGAATACTTCCTGTGGGAAGTGACTACTGACCCTTGTGTCCCAGCTGCACTGTCAGGAYGTCCCCAGCCCCACGGGCACAGCCTTATTGCCAGCTTCCAGCAGCCACTTCCTTTCCTCCCAGTGGCTCAAGCCAGCCTGGTTCCTGAGGGAGCTTGTGACTTCTCTGCACCAGTACCAGGATCTTCTTGGAGAAAAATGCACCTCACTCTCCTTAAATCCCACCCCTAACTGGTTCATGTGCCCGTCCTTCATCTCATCTGCGCTGCTTTTGGAGGAGTTTCCAGCTGGTGTAACACAGAGAAGCATCAAGCCCCTCGTCAGCACCAACAGCAGTGGGTAGCATTGCTCAGCCTGAAACTACGGAACAAAGTTGTCCCCTTTGCTCCTTCCCAGACCACTCTGCAGACAGGCCCCAGGGACCAAGCTYTGGCCTCTGCTGCCCCACAGCAGCACAGCTTTGGCTCCCGGAGGAAGGATGCTGAAGGCAACTGCGGCAACGCGGTAGCTAGGCAAGACAGAGGCAAGCTCTGCATGCAAATGTAGTGACTCAGGACAGATTTACAAGTTTCTGTGCAGGACTATTGCTTCGTTTCTTTCCTTTTAAATCCCCTGCACTCTTACTCATGCATCCGCATGCTCCGTCTCCGCAGCGCTTGCGCTGAGCGCGGCCGCGTTTGCGCAAGGTCCCCGCGGTGCCGCGTCCCTCCCCGCGGCGCGGGTCACGCCAAGCCTCACCATGCCCAGGCCCACGCCGCTGAACACGAGCACGCTGAGCYGCAGCAGGGTCTTCTCCGTGCAGAGCCTTGTGAGTCTTCCCAGGATCAGGCCTTGCACCACCTRGGAAAGAAGGGCAGCAGGTGCCATTTGTGCCACCGAGATACCCCGCGGCAAGTACGCCCAGCAAACAAGCTGTTCATTTTCTTGCTTTTTTTCTTTTTCTTTCTTTCTTTCTTTTTTTTTTTAGGTGCTTCTATTATCACAGCAAACATCTGCAAGGCTGGATGTGCTGATCTGTGTTCTAAGTCTGTGTGGTCATACGGCAAATCCCCGTGGAGGCGATTCCGGTACAATTTCTGTTGCTGCCCAGTTGTTAGCACTGATCAAAGCTTCCTAAAGAAAAAGATACTCATAGAAAAAAATAGTTTTTCAGTGCTATGCATTTTTTTTTCAGAATACAATGAATATTACTTTAAATTCTTCGGTTTTGGCAAGTTCTTCAAAAGGAAAATGGTCCTCTTGTACACAGGGGAGCAAAATGCCTCCTCTCTTCCAACTTTTCCTGCCCTTATTTTAAACTATACATACACAAATTGGGTGGTTCATTGTTTTTTAACAGGAAATGAGTGCAAGAGCTAAATCTTGTGCCCCAGCAGTAGGCACAGTCACAAGGGACAGGCAACTGCATCTCCAGATTTTAAACAAAAGCTGGGGAGAGGGAAGGGGAGAAAAAAAAATATAAGCACTGGGAATTATTCTGCTTGTTCAGACGCCCCTCTTTTTTTCTTTATTCTTTTTCAGTAGCATCCTGTGCCCACCAGGTAGGTGCTGCCCAGTGAAATGGGTTAAAGGGGAGGTACAGACAGGGATCGCCCAAGTTTTGCTTGCTTTGAAAGGGTGGGTTTAATCTAAAACACTCTCTGAGTCAAAGGAGTGACTCCAGGGCAGAAAAACCACGGCGTTTTGCAGAGCAGCTGTGCTCCAGATGGGGCTCTGCTGAAGCAGAAACGTGGTGAGCGGCTCTAGGATGGCAACAATGGTACATCACTGCATTAATCCCAAAGCGAAGCCTACATGGAGTGCTCCTCAAGCCAGGCGTTGTCACCGGCTTCTTGTGAGCCCCCCCTATCTCCCGTGTGACCGGCAGCATGAGGCCGGGCAGCCTCAGTGCAACCTGGCCCGGCGCGGCACGAGCGGGACTCTGGCTCAGCGCCCGAGCCACCACACAGGAGGAAAGGCTTCCCAATGTGCCCAGACTTGAGCCGCCTCGTTAGTCGGGATGCACCGTGCCGGCACAGCCCTGTCCCTGCCCTCCCGTTAGTCATCRGCATGGATCACCGGCTGTGCCCCACGCATGGCTCATCTGGCTACCCGTGGGACWGGGTTGGATGACAAGGTCCCAGCCAACACATGTGAGCACCCAAACATGGGAGAGAAGGTGGCCGCACAGCTCCTGTGGGCAGGACTAGGGGCAGACAGGACCTTTGGTGACCTTTCGGCAGCAGCATCCTGCTGCAACACACAGCCTAAGACCCACTCAAAGGCTGGCTTTGGGACGAGCGGCCCATCTTGGCTCTTCCCAAGAGCAAGCACCACCCAAGCCCTTGTTTTACCGCTAGGCCAAGCAGTGCTCTTCGCTTTTTCCCAACTGTGGACTCTGCATGTTTAGCCTCTCCACTGAGTATTTTACACCTCATCTGGCGAGGCCATTGCCTACACATGCCTAAGTCGCAGGTAGGTAGGCCCACCAGCTTGGTTTTGGACACCATTGAACCAACCACCTTGAATGTGAGGCCCTGGACAACGTTCCCAGTCTCTGGGAGCTAGGGACTTGTTTCTGCTTAGAATGTCCACCTGAAAGTACATGAGGAGAGATTAGCTCYTCTTGAGTCACAGATTATCTCACAGAATCCCTAGAAAGAGTTCAACAGGAGGGGAGGAAAAGAAAGTCTAGCGAGCTGGGGATGAACGCCTATGTATGAGGGTTGATGGTGGAGTGTCCTCCTCAAGGTTTGCCCCTCCTGGGCTTCATGGGCTTCCCTGTGCTCCTCTCGCTGTGGTGCAGTGCGCAGAGGGAGCCCGCGCCTGCCTGCGGATGCGCCCGCCCGGGGCAAGGAAATGGTTTGCAAGGGAAATAGTGCGGACTGCCYGTGGCCTTGTACGCATGGAGCAGGCAAAAACGCTCCCGTCTTCTCCCTTCCTGCTGCTTTAGAGGCAAATAAGGCTGCCGGAGAGCACAGAGCGATGGCAGCAGCTCTGCTCCCTTGCCTGCTTGTTCCCTCCTTGCCGGTGATTTGTTCCACTGGATCACTCCGGGAATCCATCACTGGCACTGCTCCCATCAGCTCAGAAAAGCCCACGAACACATTTCTTTCGGCCATGTTCCTAGATTGCCCATTGGTTGCCCATGCTCGTCTGTGGTCCTCGCACCACCAGGTTGTTTCCACAGGCCCTTCCGCGCTCCCTGGCCTAAACCCGGGCGGAGCTGAGGAGCATCCTGCCGTGACGGGCGCCCAGGCAGCCCTGCAGATAAGGCAGCTGAGCGGGTGCAGGAGATGCGGGGCCCCAGCGCTGCAGACCGCGTGAGTCACAGCAGCGGCAGCCGCCCACGCGCCGGACCCGCGTCTCCCCGTTGAGTTGCTGCCAGTTCCCAAGCTCAGCGCCCAGCTGGCTGCTACAGGGGACAGGCCATGGGGACAGCAGGACCCCAAGGGGCAACCAAAACCAACCGGCTTAAGGCAGTGGAAAAACCTGCAGCACTCTGTGGGGCGGGAAAGACTTTTACTACCAAACTAGTGGTGCCGGAGCGCCCTGGAGAAGCATCTCAGGTCTTGTGGATCCATGCGAGGGTGTCAGGACTGGCAGGCGAGCGTGGCAAGGCCCCAAGTGCTGAGCTTTGCCCAAGCAGGGAGAGTGGAGCGTGTTTTGCAAACGCCAGCCTAAGCGCCCTCTTTCTCCCCCCGCACCTCTCCTCCCCGGATTTAAATCCTTCAAAGCGAGGAAACTGGAGAACTTTCTGTTTGTTGTTGTCAGGCCCTTTCCCCAAGTGGGTTTTTCCCCTAGGCATACCTGGCTGCAATTAAATCCCCAGCTCTTTAATCATCTCTTTTGCTGCACAGAGGGGGGAAAAAAAAAAAAAAAGCAAAAGCAAAAGCAAAGCAAGAGGGACAGACGGGCGATAAGATGATAGGCAATGTAAATCTCTCCTCCAGGAATCTCTCTCATCTCCTCAGCATCACTCGCTATGAACTCGTCCCTCCAGAAACTGCACAGCGAGAGGTGGAGTTTGTACAACAAGGCGAATTAAAAGCAGTAAATATAACAGATGTCTTATGATTTCTTCATCCTCAGGGTAATAAATATCTCCCTTTTGTCCCACCCAGAGTTTTGTTTTATTTTGCCTTTTCTCTCTCTCTTTTTTTTTTTTTTTTTGTTTTTTAGAGAAAGTTGCTAAAGGAAAGTTTGCCCTGCCCGCTCCCATGGTCTGAAATCCAGGCATCAGCTGTGACTGCAGGTACCAGCCCCCAGGTCCTTCCCTCGCCCAATCCTCCGGCAGCATTTCCCGAGCGGGTAGGATGCTTGGATTTTCTCCATGCTACTGCCTTTATCAACCCCCTCCTCCCCCMCAAAAAAGGAGGACCCGGTCCTGGTGCTTGGTGTTTTCCTGCCCATTGCGCACAACTAATGTGAGCAGCACGTCGTCTTATTTCCCCCCCAACCTTGGCCATATCCCACATTCCAAGCGGTTTCCTAGAGGAGCAGCTCTTTGCCCCGCTGCCGGGGTGCTACATCCCTGCAGCCCCTGAGCTTCATCCCACCTTGTCTCTCCCACCCCCAGATTTCTCTGCGTGAGCTTATGCTCCATGCCTAACTGCAAGCAGATGTGCCTGATGTTAGTGTCTTAACGGTCATGGAAAAAAAACAAAAAGCGTTATTTATTTTTTAAATTACCCTTTCCACTGCTTTGCTGGTGGAAAGCATGAGCCAAAGCTCAGCGGAGCCAGGGGGCTTCCCACACAGCAGGATTTGCTCTCAACGGCCAAAGCACTGGGCAGGAAGGTCAGCAGCGAGTGTGCGGATGGAGCACGGGAGGCAGAGCAGAGCCAAGGCAGCTCATCCAAGACGAAAAGCAGGGGCAGAGTCCAGCACAGTGAATCAGTGCTGTCTCCTAGCCCAGTGCTTTGTCCACAGACCAGCCAGCCCCTGTTCCCTGCGGAGAGCATGGGGAAAGTCCACCCCCAACAACCTCATAGCAATGGGAATGTTGCAAGCTGATAGTGTCGGGCCACACAAGTCTCTGCTAGGAATGCCCTGAGCCCCGTGTCTGCACGGCACGTGCAAGTTGCACCCATGGCAGATCCAATGCTGGGTGCYGGGCACTAGTGAGCGTGTACCGACTGCATGGGGCTGCAAGGACCAAAAGCCCCTGGGAGAGCTGTGCACGCRAGGAACGGGGGTGAGAGGTGCCCTGGGGAGATGCCAGGCAAGGCTGAGAGGCTCCCGGAGCAGCTCGGAAATGCTCCCTCTCCAGCTAAGCACTGGCCGCTTCTCTGAATTTCAGTGGGCCAAGGCACCATCAAGTGACATGAAAGGACTTCAGGGTGCCACAGCCCATCCTTGCATGGTGAAACAGCAGGGCAGCTCGCTAAAAGCTCCTCCCGAGCTGGAGGAGCAGTGTGAAACACAGATGTTTATGGTAGGCTGGCCACTTCTCACCGCAGTAGGTTAAATGAGGCTGAGAAACTGAAAAATAAGGTTAAGCAATTGGAGCATAATATCCTTGGGGCGGGAAAGGAAAGCAGTGAGAGGCCTTCAGTGCTTGAATCATCTTGATATTGCATTCTGGGCTGGGAAAGGAGCCTGTAACATCTTTATTTTGTGTGTGTGTGTGTGTGTGTGCGCTAGAGAAGATGCCAGTTTCGACAAGAGCAAAATTTGATTAAAAAAAAAAAAGGAAAATAGAAACTACTTCGGAAATCTCATTAAATGGTGCCACCGTTTCACAGCATTTGGGCACCTGTCAGGATTATAAATGGATCCAAATAAGATCTAGGCTAGGATGATAGTTGCTCCCGGYACAAATGGCCCTGCTGCTGTTCCCGGTGCTCTAGCAGGAGGTTGCAAGGAGGACGTGGCTCCTTTTTCATTCCCTCGGGTTTTATTTCATTTTTAGCACTGTTAGCACCCCACTGAAAAGTGCCTGTCGGCAAGTCCAACTAGAGACCCTCACRGGAGGCTCCTGCTCTCGCGAGGGGGCTCGGAACGAGCCAGGCAGCGGGAAAAAGCCCAACCGCCCTTCCCCGAAAGGCCAACTAAGGAAGGAGAAACCAGGTGAGGAGCCGCTTGACGAGCTGCGCTGAGAGGGCATCACACGCGCTGTGAATAAAGCTATAATTTACTCGGTGAAGCGGGGGAGCCAGTCAGCAGATACTAATCGGCACCCATCCGTGTAGCCGGGCGGAATTCGGCGGCACCTCCACCTGCACGCGTATCTGCAGCGCTATCACCCGTCTGCACAACCCAAACAGCAGCATCTGAAGTGCCAGCGGGGGCAGGACGGCGCTAGGAGAGTGTGTGGGTGCAACAAGGCCACGCTGGCACACGCCAGCCTCCCTTCGGGCTTCTTCCATCAGAGGGACCTCAACAGAAAGCAATCGCAGCACACCATTAACTGCGCACAGTCTCTGTCTGCAACAGACACTTTTGGACTGTTCCAGCCAGAGACCTGACCTGGAAATATGGAGAGAAATCCTCTGTTTTGCAATTATTTTGAAGGCACCATGTGCGAGTGCTTGAAGGGGCAGGTCTTTGGTCCACATTGACATCTAGTTACTCACTATGAAGCACAGTGATGCTGGAGTTTCCTGATCTTCCTGATTGGATTCGTGCACCTGTGGAGCTAGAGGTGCTGTTTCACAGCAGYTCCACCACATGAGTCCAGGGACCACACATTACTCTAGGGACATGCTGGTTCCTCAACATAAATTCTGCAARCAGTGGCTGATGAAGAAGGCTATTGGGACACTCCTCTCCCCGATTCGGCAGGAGAGGGACTCCTCCTTCACTTACCATTTGAAGAACACCAAAATAGGCCATCAGGTATCCAGTCTGCATCGCTTCCAAGCCAAAGAAATCCATAGAGATGATGGAAAACATGACCAGGAACAAACCTAGAGGGAGGGTTAACGAAGAGTACATGTCAATGCTCCCTACATGCAGTGGCCCAGAGCTGCTCTCAGGCACCTTCGGTGTGAGCCAGCAGCTCTCCCTGGGTGTAAACACAAGCAGAATCCTATTCAAAGCCAGTCTATTAACGTAATCTTTAAATGTTAACTTTTTTATCCCACTGCCTTTCATCTTTAAATAATGTGACTATGTAGGCTGTAGATGCAACTGTTTATTATAAATGGGTAAATATTTTTATCGCCCAAGCCAGACCAACCATTAAGGCAGCAAGAAAATATTTGTTCAGACAAGACTGTAACCATAAAATAATCTGATTGGAGTCCTCATTCCTTTTGCCTACCTGGGATTTTCACCGTGGGGAATGATGCCTGCTTAGACAGGGGTTTCACTGTCCAGCCTGGCAGTGATGACAGCAGCACATGGGGATATGGGGATTCTGCTTTGGGGCCACACAGTGGTGTTGACACAGACACACAGGGAAGGACGGGCAGAAACAGCCTGCMCTGGCTCTGCTTTTGGTGTAAGGTGATTTCTGGAGAGCACGGTGGAAGGAAGATGCCCACTAACTTAATTTCATATAAAAATACAACAGCGTGTATTTCCCCCCCACACCAGGCATACCCCAAAGCAGACACGCTCCATTGTACACAGAGAGCCACCAACTTATATATGTTATGAATAAACACCGTTCTCTAAACAATGGGGAATGGGGGATGAGCCTGCTGCCTCCCCAGATGTCTCGTGCACCTTGGAGGTGCTAACATCCTAGGAAATTGCAGCTCTCAGCATGCAAATGTCTATCTGGCTTCAGTGCCGGGTAGAAGAGATCCTGCTGGGCAGAAGGGAGAAGAGTGAGTGAGGCTCAAAGTCCGTTCCTGCCCTGCTTCCTAGGGTCCTCCAAGGCCCAAAGACTTGTGAAATGGGGAGCTGCCATCCTCTCTCTTCTCAATGGTAAGAAAACAGAGGATAGGAAGGCATGTGTGAGGACTGAGAAAATGGATCATGGCCTGTTATGATGACTAATRAACCCCGTGGTGCAGGAACGACCTTGCTTGCATCTCCTGGAAGCGTGAGGARAAGCTGCCCCAAGAAGCTGTGTACCTAGCACAGGTGAACACAACCCATTTTACTTACATTTAATTAGGTAAATGTCTTTTCCAGTGAAATTTCGCAAAAGGGAATGTTTGAATAGAAGACTAGGGGRCTAGTCACCCCCTAGAAGTGGCTATTTCTCTGCGTTCACACAGAATGAGGAGGCAGGGGGACCAGCCCAACTCTCTCCTCCTGGTGCACCTCATCACTTGCGTCCATCCGCAGCGTATTTGCCCTACCCAACGTGTCCCACCGAGCACCCTAGCCCTTCATCTCAGAGATTGCCACCCTCACAGAAAGCCAGCCCAGATGCTCTGCAGAAGGGGCAGAGGAGCCAGGTGCTTGCTGAGACCTATGGGTTTGCCCCGGCCCTCGGCAAGGAGCTGCCATCCACTTGCTTTGATATCACTCCTGTCTCAAGCCGGCTTAAGGTAACATGCAAATAAAAGTACTTACTCCCCACAACCAAAACAGCCAGCAGAGCTGCCCCGTGTTTATAACAGAACACACGTGAAGAAATGAAAGAAAAACCACATGGCGTTACCCTCGCGGTGAGATCAGATCGCAAAGGGCGCTCTGCCTTCACGCAGCTCCCTCTCTGCSGGTACCACCTTGGAGCATCCCCCCTCCCTGCCTGCCCCTGGAGCAGCAAGCCGGCTTCTCTCGCTCAGCCTCGCTTTGAAGTCCTTCCCCAGGTGGAGGCAGATGGGATCCCGCTCCGCCAAGCTCCATGAGTGCTTTCTCAAGCAGGAGAGAGGCTTTCTCCTTCCTCTTCCTTTTCTTCCTTCTCCTGAAGGAAGGCGGGCGCTGTGACTCCCCCAGGGAGAGGCACATGTCTCTTTTGGGGGRTCTAAGTAGAGGTTGAGCTCTTCACAGAGCCTGGCATGAGAGGGACCAGTGACTCGTGCTGAGCAGCAGATGCAGTTTCATGGCTYGGTAAGGATGAGGATTTGGGTATACGCCAGCTTTGCCACTCTTACCTGGAGGTGTGTCCTCCTGGCTGGCCCTCTAGCTGTCCTGCTACCCAGGAACAGAGCTTCCTTTGCTCTTCTGTGGGGCAGAGAGGAGGTTCCCCACCAAGCAAGACTTTCTCTTTCAAGAAAGCTACTTTTTGACAACAACGAGCCCCGTCAGGAACAGAAGGTTTTCTTCTAAGCATATCACAGGCACGTTTACAAAGTAAACAGAGAAAGGGCTGTAATTTTGCATCATCTAATTAATTACACGGCTGCAGCAGGGAGATGAAAGGTAACCGGGGTGGTGAGGAGCTCGGTCTGCAGCTCAGCGCTGCAAAGCGGGAGGCAACGGCCAACCTCCCTTTCAGCYGCAAGTGGCCGGTCAGCAGCTCCAGGAGAGAGCTGCAAAGGGGATTTTCCAGGATTTTAGCAGCCAGAGCTCTTCCCCGCTCTGCTTCTGGCAGCAGCTTCTCGGATGACCCCGTGCCTGCTCTCYCCGAAAAGCTCCCAGGCCCTGGAGTGTCCAACTATTAATTAGCGCAGCCCCGGCCTCTGCGCAGCTGCTCCCTTCCTGCYCGCCTAGAAGCCGCCTCGCTGTGCGGACGGGAAGGGTTTGTTTTGGTTTGGCACGAGGTCCTGCTCCACACAGGAAGCGAGGAGTGTGTCCTGCAGCGCTGGGGAATGTGCATTTCCTCATGGATGACTAAAGCAAAGTGCATCTCGCCCAGCTCTTGGAGAGAGGAGAGCGTGCAGAAAATGACATGTGGATGTGGCCTCAGCTGCAGCAGCTTCAAAAGGAGAAATTAAGGCTGCCTTACACTGGGACGAGCCAGTACTGGAAAGGAAAATCCTCCTGTAATATCACTTGACTGCTTTATTCCTATGAAGACCTGCCTTTTGATGGACATTTTCTTTAAAGTTTTGAAGCTGAGCTTCATAAGAACCCAAGAAATGCATTGCTGAGGAGGGCCACCAGCCCACTGCGCCAGGGTGCTGTCTCCCGGACTGGCAGTGGGACATGCGGCTTGGAGAAGACCTGCTCCATGTCCCACTGTCCTCCCAAACCTGCCCCTATCTGGATCCCCTCCTGCCCCAACCTCTACAACCTCTTGAAAGGTTTATCCCTGCCTCAGGCATTAGTATCTACTTATGGATGTGTTTTCCAGCTCTCCCCCTTTCCAACCAGCTGATACTGCCTTCACAACCTTCTTCCAGAAGTTCTCTACTTGCTGTGTGAAAGGAAAATGTATTTTCTTCTATCTTCTTTAAACTGATCTCCTATTAGTTTCAATAAATGTGACCTTATCCTAATCTGGCAGGATCTGGTGACCTAACAGTTTTGCATCCAAGCCACCCATCACCTTCCTCATTTCCAAATAACCAATTCAGCATGAGGGAAGGAGAGACGGGGAAAGGCTCAGAAGTAAGGTACTGGATATTTTTCCACAGGCCTGCTAGCATTACTGATCTCAGCCAATGCTAAGTGCACATAAAAAAGAAAATACAAATCAGAAATCCTACAGATTATTCCAAAGTTCCCGTTGAACTCGTTTCCCCACAGCCTCAACAAGGAGTAACAGAACAACTTGGCCAAACCCGGAAATGTCGTCCCCTTCCAATTCAACTGCTCTCCGTGGCTGAATACAGTTTCATCTGTAAACTGAATTTATAGTTTACAAATTGGCAATTTATTTTTAAACTATGTTGCACATTATTTAAACTTCCAGGGTTTTCCTAGACAGAAATCAATTAGCGAAAACTGCAAAATGTAAAGCTAAGACTTTAAGCTAAGCTTAAAGACATTAAGTCCTGTTTTAGGATCCTTATTCCGCAGTCAAGTGCCTTATTTTGCTCACGGAAAGCAATAGCAAATTAAAGGGATTTTCAGAAAGGGAATTTCCACACGATATGAATCATGCATCAAATTAGAGCACATTAACTCTGTAGTTTTTACTCTCATTTTGCCTTAGCTTCTCTGAATGACCTCACTTCCAAAAAGACCTATTTTATTTACCGCTGCCCTCCTGCAGAAGTGGAGTGTTCATTCACTTGCCCACCTGAGCACAGTTTCTAAGCCTGTAAGTAGGCACTTTCTCCACATTTGGATGCAGACAAAAGAGAATCTTTGACACTGTAGTGCAGAGAAACGTTGCTTTTTTGCAAGTTTGTCTAGGAAAAGAGCTCCCAGGCTCTGCAGGGAAAGGCAGAGACCATTACCCTCTCCTTACAGCACCATTGGCAAGGTTCACATGCTGACTCTGGGCAAACAGTGTGGGGAAAAGAAGCCAGAGGGCAGGCAAAATTAAAGATGATGAAATTGTGAAGAAGAATATGCACAAACAGGCAAATCAGGTGACATGGGATGTGCCAAGATGGCAGCGGGTGCAAAGGAAGCAGAAAAACAGGCAGGTTTTGGACACGTCGCAGGTAATGTCAGGTTTCTACCACGACACAAGATAAAGGAGCAGAATATTCAGAGCAGAGAGGCAGGGTTGCATGAGAARCCCTGATACCATCCGCTGCAAGGGAAGAGATAAAAGCCACTAGCTCCCTGCAAGCACACAACGGTGCCTGATCCTGCAGCAGTCTTTAATTGCTGGGAAAAAAAAGTTAGGAGATAGATATGTATTTATTTTAAGGATATATCACAGAATGACAGAACGGTTGAGGTTGGAAGGTACCTCTAGAGATCATCTAGTCCAACCCCCTGCTCCAGCAGGGACACCCRGAGCACAGGGCACAGGGCGGCATCCAGGYGGGTTTGGAAGATCTCCAGAGAAGGAAACTCCACAGCCTCCCTAGGCAGCCTGTGACAGGGCTCTCACTCTCTGTAAAGAAGTTCTTCCTCACATGCAGATGCAACTTTCATTATTTCGACTTGTACTCAATACCCCTGGTCYTATCACTGGCCACCACCGAGAAGAGTTTGGCCCCATCCTCCTTACATTCTCTCCTCAGGTATTTGTACATATTGATCAGGTCTCCTCACAGTCTTCCCTTCTCCAAGCTAAACAGGCCCAGCTTGCTAGTCTTTCCTCATACATATATACTTTTTCACCCTTAAAAGCACCTCGTAAAATCATGGCCTCAGCGTTTCTGGCAGAGTGCAAATGATTTGCCTCTGCTCAGGAGAGCTTATAGCAAAACAGAAATGACAGGCAAGCGAGAAGAYTCCGTTTGTGGTCAGAGGAATCAGGTAGAGAGATTAAGCATTTTGCCAAAAGTCACAGCAGAAGCCTGTGACAAGCAGTCTGTTCTGGATTAAGCCTCAGGGTTTTGACCCGAGGTAAATGAGAGCAACGTGAAGCTCGTTCGGCAGCCTGAGACAAGCCTGGGTTATGCTGCACATAGTCTCGCTTTAAGCACAACARCAATCACGAGAAGGTGAGGTTTACCTATGGGAAATCCGGCAAGGACCTTGACTAGGAAAATTTCCATCACTCCTGGGAACGTCATCAGGCGCAGGATTTCGCGGAGGCTGAACACGCTGCCAGACTGTGATGGGCCTGGGAACATGACATGTCAAATAACACTTTATTTATGCAGGTCAGAGGCAGGAAACAAGAAAGACTGTATTCTAGAAAGACTGAGGTGCTACTTCTTGCAATAGCTAAATACTCACTGCTCTCTGTCKTGGGATGCTTCTGTCTAGCTGGTGAAGGGATCCCGAGTATCACTATCATGGTGGTTACGAGGCTTCCTGCCAGCCCAACGTATACAGGGACAAAAATGCTGCAAACAGAGGGAAAACACAGGTAAGTGGACAAATGGCATAAGCAGAAGACACTCGAACATCAGCCCTGCAAAGACTTGGGCACACAGCTGCTTTCACTTGGGTGAAGAGCAGTCCCCTCCAAGTCACAGTTCCTGTGGCTATAAACAAGCTCACCTGCTTTCAGGGCCCCATACTTAGATGTGGACACAATTAACAGTAACTACTAATGGTAAATTTGCAAAAATAAAAAATACCAATTATCAATTACTTAAAGAACCCCAATACAAACTACATAAAAGCCAACAGAGCGAGTGAAAACTCCTAATACAAAGAYGAGGCGGCCGCTGGCTGAAGCTGGGCACTGATAGCGGAGCGGTTGCGAGCTCATTCCTACTGCTGTTTTCCTTGTTGGACCATGGCATATTTTTCCCTTGGAAGAACCAGCAACACTAATTGCAAAAGCCTCAAGCTTCCTCCATGCTAGACAAAGGCGCGGGATGAGTAATTTCTCAAGCATTACCAGGTTATTATTAAAGTCCCAGGGAAAGGCAGGCAAAGACTGAGATGCAAACAACTGAGAAAAGCATCAAAGGGAAAATATATAAATATATATATATACACGTATTACTGTTAATAGCAACTGCAAATATCCCAGCTGAATGTTTTAATTCTCATTAATTATTATTAACAACAATAAAGGTAGATAATATCTTCCTGCAAATGGACTTGCTGCAATAATTTAGACCTGTTGCATCCATCTGCCAAGTTGTTTGGTTAATTACCCTGGACCACAAAATTAGTCATTAACTGGATTGTTTTAACTTTTTCTTTTCTTTTTTTACTTGTAAATACAGGAGAGTGCCATTTTCTGATTAAAAGTTATCTGTTAAACAATTCCCAAAAACCAAAAGTTCTCTACAAGAAATACTGAATTTCTGATTTGTTTTATACAGTAGGGTAACTATATTCTATTAAACAGATAGAAAGATAAAAGTAGCAGTTCCAGATGCTTTTATTTTTATTATTTTTTTTTTAATTTCTACATTACAAGCTTTCATTACGATATGGACAAAAAGAAGTGTAATTGCAAACATTTTTATTGGACTAAAAAAAACCGCACACATTTCCAGCACAATCTCTTTTTTATTTTCTAAGGTTTTCCAGTCTCTTACAAACATGCTACAATCATGTTTTACTTTCTTGTTCAGAAGAGAGCTACAGCAAGTACCAGCAATGAGGGAACAATCCCCAGTAAAATTAGTACGTAACGATGTCCTCTTGCACCGAAAGCATCTGGTTGCTAAGTCCTTGCTGGGAAAGGGAGAGGAGAACCTTGACATTTTCCATATTTGGGAGAAAACTGGACTTGCCTGCACGCATTAACGCCCTGCTGTACAGCCAGGCTCTGAATTCGGAGAAACCCAATAAAAGTAGAACACAGAGCTCGAAAGCTACTTCCCAGAATAGCCCCAAGTGCTCCAGATCCTTTGGAAATGCCTCCTCCCGGGCACAGCTCTAAGTGCTCCTTCTTCTCTCAACATTTTAATTGCTACCATTTCCAGATCAATAGGTGCCAAAGCCACTGGTATGGACCTGGAGATTTGGCTTCTGAGCCAGAGCGAATCACCCTGCTCAGTTCCCTTGTTGGGAAAACCCTTGGATACCAATGCTTGTTAACCTGCCTTCCAACCCATCAGGGTGCTCATCCYGGCAATACAGCGGTGCAAGACCCATCTACGCTGTCCCTTCACGTCTTGGAGCCAGACATGAGCACTGAAAGGCTCTTCTGGAGACACCAGGAACATGCCGAGGAAAATGCAGCTTCCCCAGGCTCCCCAAAGCCTCATCCCCTTGCGGCTGTGAGCAGCTCTAGGCTGTTGTAGATGGGCCAAGAGCATTTCTTTTCCTTGGCACAGCCGGGCAAGAGGACCTTGGTGGATCACGAAATCTCCGCACTGCGAAAATCAGTGGAAGTCCCTGCACTTAAATCTTGTCCCTTTGGCTTATTGGAAGGAAGAGGTGCCACTAATGAGGTGAACAAAGTAAATCAAGCAGGTTGCTCCCACAGGATGCTCTTATATCCCCTTCCTGTGCTTGCTCTCAGCCCCYCTGGCTGCTAGCAGATGAGTCATCTGGAACAGGAGCAGCTCCTGCCAAAACCAGAAGCACATTTCCTGAGGGGCCCRAACAACAAAGGACCCAGGCACAACTAATACAATTAAATTAAAAGGAGCAAAAGGGCAAATCAGCTTAGACAGCTGAGATCATTGTACGGCCTGCCTCAGCTCCTGGCTGATTAAGAGAGGTCAACTGCCTTCAGCGCTCTTGGAGACAGCAAGGGCTTTATGGTCAAAATAACTCCGGTAACTTCATCTGGGTGCTCCTCCTGGCTTGATTTTTTTTTCATTTCCCTGAAGCAATAACGCAGATGTGGTGGTTGCACTAAGGGAACCTCCCTCCGTGGAGGGATCTGCAAGAGGACAAGATGCTTGAACGGTGCAATGGGACCCTGCCAGCATCTGGCATCTCCCCAGGGTTTCTGCCCTTGCAGACACCTATGGCAAACATAGGTCTGCCTGCTGCTTGCAAGCAGTAAATGGTACTTTGCTCTGAAATGTGGGATGCCAAGCACGGGGCACTGCTTATCTGCAGTGCAAACTGTCGTGGTCTGCAGTATTTATGCTTGGAGACTCACTCTGTAGCCCGTGGTCATTTGCAATGGACAAGCGGCTGGCGGATGGGACTTCCCGTCTGGAAACTCCATCCTTAGTGCCGGTGGGAAAGCAAAATGGATGCTGAAACCATTAATAATAACGGTGTGGTAAACAGATTAAACCCAAGAAAAAAATAAGCATCCAAAGCTGACTGGACCAAGGATGAACTTCTTCCCATCGAATGCGTAACCACCTTCTGTGTTTACTTTCAGATGACTTCAATTCCTAGCGGGCACCAAGCTTCCTGGATGAGCCAAAGCAGGAATACGCTACGTGTTATCCCATGAGGAATCAAAGAGATTGCAGATCAAGGCTTGGCCGTTGCATTCTTCACCTTACTGAGCCTTACAGTCTGCCTTCAAACCATGGAGGAAAGTGTGCGTGTGTGTGTATCTATGCATGTGCAATTGCACCATTAAATGTTGCAGCAGTTCTTTTAAGGGGGAGTCATTCCCAGCAAGTCCTTGGGGATTAAAGGATGCATGTGTAGTTCTGCAGTGAATGGAATTGCATTTGTTTGCTTCCCCTCTCCTTTTTTTTTTTTTTTTCCTTGTAATAAAGTCAAAGTTGAGTGTGGAGGGAGTGCAAATTGTTTTTCAGTGACTCACTTTGACTTCCAAACAACATCGTATAAGGATTGCATTCATAAGCRGGCCAGATTCCTTCAAGAGCTCTGAAGGGACTCACAAAATATTTCTTTGATTGCAACCCGGCTGTACTAGCCGCTCACTTGCGCCCTTAGAGAGGAGCTATAGGAAAAAAAGTGATCAAAAAACAAAAAAGGGACAAAAATCAGCGTGGTTAAACCTTGACTCCAAACCGTGTTCTCCAGCAGATAGCTCTGTTCTTTTTGGAAAACACGTAACGCTCAGTTTTCCGTCAACACCAAGCGTGCCTTGTGTTCCTGATAACCAGGAATGCCTAAACGGAGCGGGTAACGTGGGATGACTCAGTGGTGCAGAGCTGAGCACTGGCTCGGCTCGGGGCGCCGCGTTTTGCTGCGCCGGCCGCGCTTGCGCAGCGCCTTTCGGCCCCGAGCCGCRGCGCGGAGACCTCCGACTGCGCTGCCGTGCCCTGGCGCCCCAGCTCCTCCCTCAAGCAAGCACAAAATTTCATGGAAACCATGACGCTTCCTAAAAAAAGGGGGGAAAGCAATAAAAAATGAATTCATTGAGGCTCAGAAAGCTTCACGTTTCCTGGAATGTTGTGTAAATGTGTAGAAATAGAGGCAAACAAATAGAATCTTTTCCCAGTTATAAAGTTTCCCCAGTTTTCCCGAATCTCTGCACACTTACATGCGTTTATAGCAACCGGGGAGTGAGCTTCATTCCTCCAAAAGATTCTAGCTAGCTGGCTGACTAAGGCCTTGCTTGCTCACTCTGGTATCCCAGTCATCACCCTGTATGTCTAGAAATGGGGGAGTCTAGACATGGACCATGTATGACTTGCACTTGCTCAGGAGGGGCTTGCAACATCTGGCTTCCAGCCCTAACCCGGGATGAGCTGGGGCAGGCCAAGATAGGAATCAAGGTAGGTGTAAGTGGTCAGCACTCACAAGACAGGCAGCAGGCCAGCGGGGCTGGGACCTGAAGAAACAGAGAAGAGAAAGGAGGTGCTTTTGGAACCTGTGAGAGGCCCACAAATTCATGAGCCGTATGGAGAAGGGGGATAGGAAGTGGCTTCTGATGCAAGAACTRGGAAACATGGGATGAAGGTGAAAGGAACCTGGTTGAGGACGAAGACAAGGAGCTGATTCCTCCCACAAAATGYATAAGGTCCATGAAGCTTCTGCTGCTAATATTGCAGAAGCAAATGGTTTGAGCAGGCTCAAGGGAAGACTGGTGGAAAAATCTACTGAGGGTTACTAAARAATCACCAACCACACTCATCTCAGGAAACCCCCCCAGCTGAAAATACTTGGAGGTTGGGAAATTAATTGGAGCATTACATAAGTTTGCCTTGTTCTTCAAAGTACAATGATAAAGCAGCCCATGTCAGCACCCTCTTAAACAACAAACCAGTTYCAGGATCTTTCACTCCAGTCATGTTGAGAGATACAAGAGCAATTTCCTCCTCTACAGCAAGAATCAAAACTGTCTCCTGCCACCCAGCTCACAAACTAGAGATAAGCTTGTCCATTCCTCTCAAATCCTTAAATGTTYCAGAGTATGAATAAGAATAACCATAACTCTCACTCTGAGCTTGGGGCATTCTGCTGGAAATAACTAATTCTACATTTCAGATCAAGAACCATTCACATACCTTATAAAGTGATTGCTTAATATTAAATACAGAGACAATCC